GGGGAGAATTTCTTTGGGAAATGAGGGTATTCAGCAGTGCTTGCACAGGCTGAGAAAATCTGAAAGCCACAAAAAAGCTCTGAAAAGACCCCAAGATTCACCTCTGGCTGATCTCTACTAAGCTCAGCACATGCAGAGTAGTAAACGTCCCAGCTATTTAGAATTGCAAAAGCTCCAAATATCCAAAAGTTGAAGGATGACTCACACTTCCTGATTTCAAAACTTACTACAGAGCTACAATAATCAAGACAATGTAGTATTGGCATTGGATAGACTACAGACCAATGGAATAGAGAGTCCAGAAATAAAACCATACAACTATGGCCAACTGATTTTTGACAAGTGGGACATGATCAATCAATGGGGAAAGAAGTCTCTTCAATAATTGGTGCTGGATAACTGCATCTTCACGAGCAGCAGACTAAAGTTGAGCCCCTATTTCACACTGATCCCAAAAGGGTCGAGTATCTACACTACATAAAGAACTCTTACAAGTCAACTATAAAAAGGCAAACAACCCAATTAAAATACGGGGAAGGGACTTTTAATAGATATTTCTCCAAATAACATATGCAAATAGCTAACAATTACATGAAAAGACACTCAATATTATTCATCATTAGGGAAATGCAAATCAAAACAATAATTAAGTATCATTTTAGCCCCATTAAGGAGTCTTGGTGGCACTGTAGGACAAACACTAAACTGGTAACTGCAAGATCGGCAATTCAAACCAACTACCCGCACCACAGGAAATGACGGGGCCTTCTGCTCCCATAAAGATTGACAGCCTTGGAAACTCTACACATGGTGACTATGAGTCGGAACCAACTAAATGGCTGTATGTTTGGTTTCAGTTTTTGGAGTCAACCCCTACCAGAAAGGCTATGATCAGAAAAATAGAACATAGCAGTGTTACTGAGCTTATAGCAAAATTGAAAACTTCATCCACCGCTAGTAGAAATGTCAAACAGTGCAGCCTGTGTGGAACACAGTTTAGTGGGTCCTCAAAAAAATTAAACATTACATTACCATGTAACCAAGCACTCATATAATTGTTCAAGAATGCTCAAGGCAGCACTCTCTCAATAGCCAAAAGGAGGAAAAAATCCAAATGTCCATCAACAGATGAATGGATTAAAGATAATGTAACATACACATATAATAGAATATTACATAGACATAAAAAGTAATGAAGTGCTAATACATGTTACAATATAGATGTACCTCAAAAACAAGCAAAGTGTAAGAAAGCAGACTCAAAGACCTGATTCTATTCATATGAAATATCCAGAATAGGTAAGTCCATAGAGACAAAAAGTAGACTGGTGGCTGCAGGAACTGGGAGGACTACACAGTAGGAAGTGACTATTTAACAGGTATGAGGCTTCCTTTTGGGTTTATGAAAATGTTTTACAACTTGAGAGAGGTGGTTGTTGTTGTTAAGTGCCGTTGAGTAGGTTCCAACCCATAACAACCCTGCATAGGGTTTCCAAGGAGTGGCTGGTGAGTTTGAACAGCCAACCTTGCGGTTCAAACCAACTTTGCAGTCCAGCGCATTAACCCACAATGCCACACCAGGACTCCAGAGAGTGGTGGTAGTTGGCCAATATTATGCTTGTACTAAAATGCCATTGAATTGGACACTTTAAAGTTGTTTGTTATGTGAATGTCACCTTAAACAAACAAACAAAGGCACCTATATATATCCCTTTTGTCAAACATCAATTTCTTGCTTCTTAAATTCTCTGAATCTGAAAAGAATATTTGAATTATATATTAGCATACACAAAGCTCTTAGAAAAGGTACTAATTTAAACCATACAAGTGCTGGGTACCTTTACCTCCAAGCTGAGAATGAATCTTTGTTCTACCAGATATGTAATTATAAGATAACTCGGAGCTTCTTTCTACAAACTTAGTATTTGTTTAAGTAGTTGAAAGTTCATTTTTCTTTCCTGCTTTCCTTTGGATTAAACAAGGATTTTTCATTTTCCACATATTTCCTCTTAGCTTTTTGCTATATAATTTCTTTAATGGTTACAAGAGCGCAACATGTATCTTGATTTATTAGAGCAGAATATAAATAGACAATAAGTATGAATATGAATCCTAGAAATTGGACTATATCAAGAAGAATGAGGCATCAGGATTGGAGGAATACTTATTAACAATTTATGATATGCTGATGACACAATCTTGCTTGCTGAAAAGTGAAGAGGACTTGAAACGCTTACTGATGAAGATCAAAGACTACAGCCTTCAGTGTGGATTATACTTCAACATAAAGAAAACAAAAATCCTCACAACTGAACCAATAAGCAACATTATGATAAATGGAGACATTATTAAAATTGTTAAAGATTTCATTTTACTTGGATCCACAATCAACACCCATGAAAGCAGCAGTCCAGAAATCAAATATTGTGCTGTATCAGGCAAATCTGCTGTGAAAGACCTCTTTAAAGTGTTAAAAAACCAAAAAACAAAAAACTCAGAGATGTCACTTTGAGGACTAAGAACTCATTGTATTTTCATATGTAAGTGAAAACTGGACAATGAATATAAGAAAGACAAAAGAAGAACGGATAAATTTGAATTATGGTGCCAGCATTACTGAACATTCCATGGACTGCCAGAAAACAAGCAAATCTATATGGGAAAAGTACAGCTGGAATGCTCCTTAGAAGCGAAACTAGGATGGGGAGACATTGTCTTACATACTTTGAAAAGGAGGGACCAGTCTCAAGAGAAGGACATCATGCTTGGTAAAACAGAGGGTCAGAGAAAAAGAGGAAGACCCCCAGTGACATGTACTGACACAGTGGCTACAAATGAACTCAAATACAGCAACAATTATGAGGCTTGTGTAGGACCCAGCGGTGTTTCATTCCATCATACATATTCTGGTCTATATAAATAGAACTGGCTCCACAGCACCTAACAACAACATAAACTAGTATTTTTAGCACTTTATAGATCTTTTTAAAGTGTTGAAGAGCAAAGATGTCAGCTTGAGGACTAAGACACACCTGACCCAAGCCATGGTACTTTCAATAACCTCATATGCATGTCAAAGTTGGACAGTGAATAAGGAAGATCATAAGGAGCTCTGGTAGCGTAGTGGTTATGAATCGGGCTACTAATCTCAGGATCAGCAGTTCGAAACTACCAGCTGTTCCATGGGAGAAAGATGAGGCTTTCTGCTCCCATAAAGATTTATAGGCTCGGAAACCCAATACAGGGTTGCTATGAGTTGGAAATGACTCCACTGCACATAACAACAACAACAAGGAAGATTATAGAAGAATTGATGCATTTGAGTTATGGTGTTGCAAAAAATTAAAAGTAACATGGGCTGCCAAAAGAACAAACAGATCTGTGTTGGAAGAGGTACAGCCAGAGTGTTCCTTGGAGGTCAGGATGGCCAGACTTCGTCTCTCATACTTCAGACATATTGTTAGGAGGGACCAGTCACTGGAAAGGGACATCATGTATGGTAAGGTGGAGGGTCAGAGAAAAAGAGGAAGACCCCCAGTGCGATGGATTGGCAAAGTAGCAGCATAAATGGGCTCAAGCGTGGCAACAATTGTGAGGTTAGCCCAGGACTGGGCAGTATTTCATTCTGTTGTGCATAGGGTTGCTATGAGTTGGTAACGACTGGATGGCACCTAACAACAACAGAAAATTCAGAATCTTAGCACATTCTAACTCTATTTGCCTATTCCTATTTTTTTACATTAAAGTGATTCATATAATTCTATGTATCTTTTAATTAAAACATTATTATTTGGTAGCCAAAACTAACAGACACATTAATATTTTCCTTTCTTTTGCTCCTTTCTATATTTCCATGTGAGATTATTTTTAATTTGCTTGAAAAACTCCTTTTAGTAATTCTTACTGCACGTCTGTTGGGATGAATTTTCTCAGATCTGATAGTCTGAAATGTCTTTATCTGGCCTCAATTTTGAAGGACATTTTCACAGGATATAGAATTCTCAGCTCCAGTTATTTTCTTTCAGTACTTTCAAAATGTCATTGCATCATCTTCTAGCTTCCATGTTTCTATTGAGAAGTGAGCTTTCTGTTTTATTTATTTATGTTCCTTAGAAACAAGCTAATATTTTCTCTACCTTTTATTTGTATTATCAGATTTTCAGCTTTTATGACCATTTCCTACTATAGATTCTTTGTCTTTAGTCTGTTCTTTATATAATGTTTCCTAAATTGGTAGCTTGATGTCTTTCTTCAAATTTGAAAACCTCTGAATAATTGTATTTTTTTCATGCTCTCTTTTCTTCACTTTGGTGACTCTATTATGTTAGACCTTGAACTGTGTCCTACGTGTTTAACACTTTTCTATACGTACCATCATTTTTGTTCTTTATGCTTTGGTACTTTTTTTTTTAATTATGTTTTTATTTTACTGACCTATCTTCCAGTTCGGACTCCTGGTGTGGCACTGTAGGATAAGCACCAGACTACAAACTACAAGGTCTGTGGTTCAAACCTACAATTACTCCTCGGAAACTCTGTACAAGGTGGCTACGAGTTGGAACTGACTCAATGGCACTTCACAACAACACCCTTCTGGTTCACTAAGCCTACCTTCTGTTGTGTCCAATTAGCTGTTAAGCTTTGTCTCCATTTTCTGGTTTCTTCTCTGAGAAATCTTTTAACCAAATCCTTTAACCACTTATTTACCGACTGGCAGCTAACAAGTACTACATAATATTTGTTAAGTATATAATATTTGTTCCGGAAAGGCGAAAGGACAGCAAACAGATCAAAAATGTGTCAATTTTGTTGATTAGCAGTTTTGGGAAGTAGCCAAACAACTAAAATCTAAATGAATGATTACAATCTATTTAAAAGAAATGGAGGACTTTATATGGGTTAAATAAAATTACCATAATTTAGGGTAATATTTTATATTTTTAACATACCACGTTTCATATTGACTTGATGTTACAAGTATTTTTTAAAAAGATACTTACTCTCTTTCCTTTTCAGTCAGCTTGTCATTAATATTATCTTTGATTGTTGATCTAGATCCCTTGTGAATTACAGGATATCTGAGGGGCACTTGGAGGAAAAAGGAAATCATGGAAACCAAATGTGCAGTGTAACCAAGGGCAACAGCAATGCTTCCATCATCTTTTGCTATAATGAAAAAGTAGAGGTGAAGAAAATAATTATTAAATTGATACATGCAGCTATGAGATAATAAATGTTTTAAGAGATTTTATAAGAAATAAATAGTAAATAAAATAATAATCACTTTTCTAAATTCTATAAATTGGATTAAAATCTAAGCACATTAACAAGACTTTAAATTTCATCAACTACACTTAAAAACTATTTCCTAGTAACTGATATTATGCGATGAACAGGGGACTCCTGGTGTGGTGCTATAGGATAAGCAATGAATGCTAACCAGAAAGTCAGCAGTTCAAACCCACCAGCCACTCCTTGGAAACCCTATACAGGACCACTATGAGTTGGAATCGACTCACTGGCACATATGAACAACAACAACAAAGGGGTGTGGTGCTGTAGGACTTCAAACCACAAAGTCAGCAGTTCAAACCCACCAGCTGCTCCTTGAAAACCCTATACTGTGTCACTATGAGTCAGAACAGATTCCATGGCATTTAACACCACCAACAACAAAGGATGTCATTAACACAAGTCAGGAGCTCTGGTGGCACTATTAGTTAGGCTTTGGGCTACTAATGACAAGATCAGTGGTTTAAACCCACTCCTCAGGAGAAAGAACAGACTGTCTGGTCCCGTATCTACTGCCTTGGAAACCCCATATAGGGTCGTTATGACTCAGTGGCAGTTGGCTTGGGTTAATCTCAATTTTTAGTAGCATTTTTCATATTTTTCTCATACATTTTACTTATTTATCTAAGCCCTAACTATTTATGGTAGCAAAGACATTATAGCCATCGCTTCCTCAGTGAATTTTTTCCCCACCCTTTGGTTTCTCTTTGATCATCCTACATAAACCAGTTAGCTGTTAAAAATATTTTTATTCTTCCAGAAATTGTCCATAATACCTTATATGTGACTGTCATTCACTCACCAACAGTTTACTAACTGGGACATCTTATATTTGCTGCTTCATTCATTTTACAGATGAAAAAACTACAGCTCAAAGAGCTTAAGGAACTTGACCAAAACAATACAGACAGTAAACATGTTGGCTTGATGTCAAAGACTGTGTCCTTAACCACTCTACTCTTATTGTCTCAGAACCTGATTGTGGAATATATACACACATCACAATGTTTTAACAGTGTTTTAGAAGCCAGAATGTACCAAGCACAGGACACAGTGTAAAACCTTCATTTCTTCAGAATGTTTTAGAGTAAAGGAAAAGAACACTTAACAATGAAGTCTGTGAGTCCTCAGTGGCTTGTAGCATGTGACCGAGAATGGGCTCTCAACTAATGTTTCCTGTTTGTAAATGTACTCACTCAAAACAAACTAATGAAAATTCAGACATTTACTTCAACTGTCTGCCAAGTAAGGCCCTAAATGACTAGAATCCTAATTCTCTTTAGAGAACATATACTCTTGTCCCCAGTCCCACCCAAGTACCTTCAGTATCATTACAACATTTTACTTCTGTTGAAACCATTTTATAAACTATATTAAACAACCTTTGGGAGTTTTCACATTATGATCCCTTCCAAATTCATCATTATATAATATTTAGGCTAAGAAAAACCTTAGAAATCACTGACTCTGACTCTATCAATTTAGAAATGAGAAAAATATGCTGGGGAATAGGAAGCAGTACAAATGGCTGGGTCAAAGCCACATAAGTAGAAATCTTAAGTGGCAGAGGAAGTGGGAGAATTGCATCTACACCCCAGTTTCTTATGTACACTTGGAGTCCTAGCATTTAACAAAAACAACAATATGTGCTTTACACTAAGCTTTTCCTTTTTTATATGATTCTGTTATGTGTCCCCACCCCAGCCCTGCAAACCTTTTCTTTTAAAATATTTAAAGATTTTAAATCACATTTACAGATGAGGAAAACTCCCCGACCCAACTAGGAACAGTGAAGCTACCAGAGCTGGAAGGAATGCATGCCCCACATGCATTGTGAACCTAGTGCAGACTTGAAAGCAGAGAACACCATACACATCACCCTTTAGACTAGAGAACTGGAGCTGGAATGAACAGAGGATAGTGAAGTTCCTGCAGCCACCATCTGATTCCTTCACCTTCATGCTGCAGAAGCAGCAAAAAGTTGTGCTGCTTCTAGATGGTTATAAGTGAAACTCACACCTATTGGCACCAATTAGGCCAAGGGCATTAGCGACAATAGGGTATTCCATTGATAAATACAGAACAATATTAGAATAGAAAAGAGGAAGAGAGATATTAGATAATAGGTAATCCATTATCTATAGATTATCTTGGTTCTTGTATTTTTACCACCTTGCTGAGTCTCCGTTTAGCTTCACTGAGTAAGTCATGATAAGGTCATATCTTGCTCTGAGAGCTTTCAATCTTGCTTGATTGATCAAATTGGACATCTGAATTTTCTTCTACTGCTCAGTCTGTTTTTCTTTCTTTTCACAGATGACCTTTCTCAATGTTGAATTCTTCTGCCTTTGCATCTATTTCTTCTGCCCTCTCTTCTTCAATTAAAAGTCATCATGTGCTTAAGCTGTTTTTGCAAATCAGCATCATTGAGGGCCATGGAGAAAGCTGAGGGTTAGTGAGCAACAGCTGCTATGTGTTCTTGCCTTTACTAGAACACTGTGAAGAAACTAAGGTTTTTACACATGTGCTGTATTTGGTACATCCTAGCTCCCAAATCACTGCTAAAACATTGTTATATATGTATGTCTTGGACTCTTGGTGTGGCGCTATACTGTGAACCACAAGGTCGACAGTTCAAACCCACTAGCTGCTCCTCAGAAACTCTATGTAGGGTTGCTATGAGTTGGAACCTACTTGACAGCACTTAACAACAATAACAACATATAGCTGGCAGGAAAGATTTGAAAACTTCCAGAAAACAGCAACAGGCCTCATAATTAATTAGCCTTCTAAACCGGTTGAATGCAAACTGGTGGTGGTGGTGATGTGCCCTGGAGTCAGTTCCGACTCATAGCGACCCTGCACAGGGTTTCCGAGGCTGTGAATCTTTACGGGAGCAGAAAGCCTCATCTTTCTGCTGCGGAACAGCTGGTAGTTTCGAACTGCTGACCCTGACGTTAGCAGCTGGATTTGTAACCACTATACTGTTAAAAATCTATCCACTCAGCTGATGGGGAGGGCAATGTACAAAGAGGGGGGAGGGTGAAGATGAACAATGAAGATAGAGGAAGACTTAGGGAGGTAGGCAAGGCCTAAATGGGATAGAGGTAAATAGTGATTTATACACAACCTTGGATCAACAGTGTTTTGTAATATAGGAATTGAAGCATAGTCTGAATAAGTAAAGGAGGGGGGAAATGCTTAGGTGTTTGACTGTCTTGTGGATCTTGGTTTCTTCTGCCTGCTATGGTAAAATCAACATTTAAGTGTAATAGAAACAAATATTGGGAAATATGATTACAGAAAGCTTGTAAGTTCATTTTCAGCCTATAACTGATTGGGTTTGCTAAAAGGGGAATTAGAATTTGCCCAGGGAAATAGGATTCTTTTAAGTCTTTGTGGAGCATGGGGCCTTAGGTGGAATCCTGAGCCTCACCTAGAGTCTTCTGAAGTGGGACATTCCCACTAGAAAGACATGCAGACCAATCCAGAGCAGCTAGAGGAATAGAAGAATCTTATTGAAAGAAAGGCCTGCAGAATAAAAGCAGACTGCTTGGCTGTTAGAATACCAAGTAAGCTATTTGGAGTCCTGGTGTGGCACTGAGGGTTAATATGTCATACGGCAAAGTCATTTGAACTGCAAGGTTGGTGGTTCAAGTTCACCAGCTGCTCCTTGGAAACCCTATACAGGGCTGCTATGGGCCAGAATCAACTCGACAGCACTTAACAACAACATTTGCTTTGAAGGCATCAAGGCAAGAAAAGTCAGCCCTTCAGGAAAAACCCTCTTCTAAGACTAAAACTTGAATCTGTGAGCAGTATAGTATGCTCACTGGTGACAACCTGGGTCTATTTGTGAGTGGAAGTGGGGTAAACGCAGCAATAAAGACATGGGCTGAGTTTGGGTATGTTCTATTGATAACCACTGATCTCAAGATGAAAGAGAGAAGAGGGAGGCCTGGCTGGTCTGAAGTTTAGGGAAATGTGTGAACTCTTGAGCCCATGGGCACTGACCTAGCCACTGGGGACTAGAGCTCAGAGTGAAGTGGCCAGCTGATCTGAAGTACAGGGAGACGGGAGACGTGCGTGAACTTCCAAATTTGCAGCTAGTACCCATCTGACCTAGCTTGGATGGCTAGCTGACCAGAACTCAACCCGATGAAGATAAAAATGCTTGATACTGTGAGCAAACATAAATTGCTCAATTTGATGAACTGGACCTTTGCTTATGGATGCAGTTGCTCAAAATTCCAACCAGAATGGGAGGATTCATCATATTAAAGAACAAGGTTGTTTCCTCAGTGCCCTGTTGATAGGGATGGGCAATCTAAACATTGGCTATCAAAAATGGGGGATTCTAAAGGCACAAAGTGGCTAGGTTACAAGCTTTCATGAGTGTGCTTAGTTTCAGAACACGGTATGTGTGGGGGGATATGGTAGACTCCTCACTGAATAGTTTTCCTCTTTTCCAGATGGATCTGGTGAAAGAGGATGAGGGATGAAACTGGTAGAAATTTTATGATTCAATTGTGAGTAACTGTTAGCAGGATTAATTGTGATTGTCAAAACTGTAACTGTAGAAGATGTGTAACTAAAGTGGGGAAGTAGTTAATCTTTCATTTCAGGAACAGACGATCCCAGGACCATCAAGAAGGAAGAGCATGAGTAGAACATGAGATTCCTACCTAGAGAAGTGACGCCAGCAGAGATGATGGCATGGTGAGACAGCGCAGCAGTCCCATGGACTGAGTAAGGCTGTGTGCCTATGGGCAGGAGGCTGGCTTGCAGAATAGACCCTTAGGACATTTAAATGAATACACAATTTTTCATAGTACATGCAAACATCAAATATTTTTGCTTTGCTTATTTGTGAA